GACGTACACCAGAGAAAACATGTGTACGTCAGGTGCATGGCGCACGGCAAGATCCCACTCGGGAAAATAATAATACAGTTGAATGACCAATGCAAGGACAGTAATAACAAATAGAAATATGCAGCTGAAATACTAACAAGCTAGATATAATCCATCACTAGAGTATAATAATCAGGAGAAAACATAAACATCCGAGTAACAAGATCATACAGCTAGCCATCCTATAATCATCCACATAACAAGGTCATACAACTAGATGAAATTAATATTTAAAAATCTACAGCTCGAGACGTAGTACGTCGAGCGAAATAATCCAAACAAGGAAACCCTCATGTATATACCATATGTCTCGAATTGTAAATAATTAAATATTAACCCCGATCTATGTATGAAAAGAAGTACAACCAGCCTACATCTCACAAGAATCATACTTAGCCAAGAATCGAGGTCATGTAACTAACTATCCCATCACTCATCTCAAATAATCAACAATCTCAATATCACTGCTCCTCAGACCCACCCCAGGCCGATACAAGGCACTGGCGCGAGCCTGGAAAATACATCAACAATCTCATATCACTACACCTCAGACCCACCCCAGGCCGACACAAGGCGCTGGCGTGAGCCTGGAAAATACATCAACAATCTCATATCACAACTCCTCTGACCCACCCCGGTGACTACACAAACTTCACCAGCGTGAGCCCGGAATATACATCAACAATCACATATCACGACTCCTCAGACCCACCCCGGTGACTACACAAACTTCACCAGCGCGAGCCCGGTAATAATCACAATCACATCTGCTCACATGAACCAAGATTGCCTACCCAGCATCCCTAGTATTTCTAAGTCAACAATATAAACATGTCTCTAGGTCTCGTTCGCCATACATAAGCCACTAAGGTCATGAACTACTAACGATTCTCAATCACAACAAGCAATGCAACTGATCATGAGCAATAACATCATGACATATCAGATAATTAAGTTTAAGAATTTTGAATCATAAAATTATTCTAAAATAACCTTCTAAAATAATAAATTTGTTTACTTAAAATAATCCTTTCGCAAAATAAATTCTTTCAAAATAATCCCTTTTTCAAAACAAATTTCGTTAATTTACTTATAATTATTCTAAAATGATTCTTTTTCCAAGATATTTCCTTTTAAATTATTATAAATTTCCTAAAATGATTTCGTTCTCAGAATAATTTCTTTTTAATAAATATAATTATCCAAAAGTGATTCCGCTGCCAAAATAAATTCATTTAACTCATCATAAATATTCTGAAAATGCTATGTATCATATTATCATGATTTATCTAATTTTATTCATCAAACAATCCCACACAGATAATTATCTCACAAACTAATCTATGTATCAAACAATAACAGATATAAATAATGAAAATACAAGTCAAGGAAAATGGGATCTTGCCTGCGAGACCGTGGGGTCTGATGACGAGGCGGCGATGTCACTACGGATGCGGTACAATGGATCTGAACGGCACAGTCAACGACGAATCTGAGGTTGATCGAGCGGGATGAAGGCAGCGGCGTGAGGCGGAGGACGGCGGTTGTCGGCGAACAGCGGGTCACTTGCTGTCGGGCTCGGCGTGGGCTCAGGCGATGGCGGCTGTCTGATGGAGACTGACGGCGGCGCTGTCGGGGACTGGAGGAGGGTGTGGGCTCATCGGAGGAGAGATATAATTAAACAAGAATAATTAATAATAAAAATATATTTACTTATTTTTAAAATCAAATAATTATGGAATAATTATCTATACAGTAAAACGTACAAGTTATACTAATACGACAGATAATATGTAACAATATAAATAATACAATAAATTATACCAAAAACACGTAATTAATAATACCATGTATTATATGAAATAATTTGTAATAATATTAATAATACAATATATTATTTAAAATATTACGTAATAGTACCGACAACACAACAAATTAATTCTAAAAATTTTTACCGCACAAAATAAATTTATAAATACCAAAATCATTTAAATAAATATATAATCAGATTTTTAAATCATAGAAAATTGTAGAAAATCAAGAAAAATACAAATACTCTTTTATAAATAATAATTAAATATTTTAAAATGCTAGAAAATTATTTTAATTAATATCAAAATTTCACGGTCATTACATACACTTACACATTCACATGCTCCTTCTCACAAAGTTCATCATAAGAATGCTAGTGTGTTCAAGTGTGATCTTTGTGGCCGTTTTGATCATTTGGCCGAATATTGTTTTGATTTGAAAAAGAAATCTCATTTGCCAAATGCTTCTAGTAGACCACATGCTTTTAAATATGATGTTTGTGGTAGGTTTGGACATCTTGCTAATTTTTTTTAATATGCAAAAAGCTTCTAAGTTGCAATATGTTCCAAATACACCTTTGTTTAACGATGTTTCTCATTTACGAAATAATTTAAAAGAAAAATCTTTTTTTGCAAATGATTCCCGTGCTCGAGCATATGGTCCAAAAAAACAAATGAGTCTATTTCATTGTACAAATTATAATCGGAAGGTTCATTTGAGCAATTATTATTATGACCGGGTTAGTGCACCAAATATGCCCAAAAGGGTTCATAACCCTAGGACCTTGAGCTTTATTAATAGGGGTCATGTCCCTAACCAATCCGGCACCAAGAATGCTTGGGTGCCAAAATCTTTTTAAAAAAAATAAGAATGGTGTTTTTTTAATTTTTAATTTTTCTTGGTTTTGAAAATTATATTTAAATTTTTTTTGATCAATTCTTTTGTTTTCATGATTATTAGTTTTGATTTTTGTTAAGAGGTTTGTATTTATATAACCCCCCGGGTTTATTAGGTGTTTATTTCCCAAATCATGTTTACCGGATGCTAAAATAATTATATAGGTTGGAACAAGCTCAAGAGCTTGATATTGTTGCCTCTCTTAAAAATTGTGTTTTGATTTGTTGCTTTGGATTCATTATATTTCACTTATATGATGATATTTATGTGTTTGTGCTTATGGATCATCTATTTGTGTCTTATAATATATTCTATGAGTGGTTTGATCAAGTTATACAAAAAAAAATTTCTTCTTTGATCAAACATTATTTTTGGACTTAAATCTCGATTTATGACTTCGTTTGATTGATTTGTTTTCACTTGAAAACTTTTTTCATGGTTCTCATGTTTTCCTCATTTCTTTGTTTTCATAAATCTATTTTTATACACTATGTTTTTATAATTGTGTAATGAGACACTTCTTTCATAAATGACATATTAATATGTGTTCTCATTGTCTTGTTTGTATGTGAGTTATGTTTAGCATATCTTTCATTTATTCTTACTCACATGTTTTTGTCTTAGCTTTCATTTCATATATTCTATATGGCATTTTGATAGGGGGAGCTATTCCCTATACTTGTTTTATACTCACTCATGCATATTAATAGGGGGAGCTTTCGCTCTCTTCATTCTTGTTATTTTTCCCTTTTTGATGTTGTCAAAGGGGGAGAAATATTGTGAGTATAGCCTTTCCTTGTTTATATGCATGTGAATTATAATTTATATGTTCATTTTTCTTCATGCATATATCCTTTTTGTAAATTGTTTGTCATCATAAAAAAGGGGAAGATTGTTGCCCTTCTTGTTTTGATGATGATTTACAAATAATTTACTTCTAATATTGTTTATCTAGTGTTTGTGTTTTTGTATCAATTGTAGACAAACAATATGTTGAAGGATGGATGAATTGCGCCATAACGATCATATCAAATGGGGGTTGGCGGAATAGTAGAGTGAAGCCTTGCTATCAAGTTGAAGATCTAAGTTCAAGCTTCATCCAAGTTTACCAAGTTGAGCTATAATGAAGATCAACATCAAGCTTGGGTAACAGTAGTTTAGGTTTATATTATGTGTGTTGGTACTTTAAGCTCAATCATATATACACACACATTATATTGGTTTCCTTGTATATATATAGTTATATATATATATACAACATAAGCTTTGGAATTGGGTTTTAAATGGGAAAGAAGGATAAATTGGGTAGGGATTTCTTGGACAGTGAGAGAAGGGGGTTGGTTGCACTAATATTTCAAATTAAGGGTTTGGGGGTAATAGTTTTGGGGCTGGGGAGGAGGATGCATGAGCCAACTATTTTTGGTTCCTCCAATCAATTTTCCCTTTTTTTCTTTGTGTGTTGTAAGTTATTTGCGCTTTAGTACACCAAACTTTTCATCTTTTATTTTTTATTTTTTACTTTAAAGCCCTGAATTTCGAGTTTTCACAGTTTGGTACCCCCAATGCTCTAACTTTGCTCCTCGCTTTGCCGAAACTCAAAAACCGAAAATTCGGTAAAGAAAGCTGTTTACCGCACACTTTTCTATGGTGATATCCTCGAACAAAATCAATGTAAGCACATCAAAGTGCAAGTAGCTCAAATATAAATAAATATATGTAGACGAATATGTATAACTGGGGATAAATCATAACCCAATACGAGCAAGTTGAATACTAAATGTACAGCCAATTGATTGGATGGTTTAATTTCACTTGTTATGAATACCAAAGAGAGGGATACGTACATGAGGCCCTATCTCATGTACAACTCTTACCTAAAACAATATAAATTGCGTGTATGTAAAGCTGTGTGAAACCCACCTGTAGCCTTGGTGGTTTCTTGCTTAAAAGAAAAGAAAAGAAAAATAATCAGTATGATACTATAATTAAGTTTATCATTATCGGCTGAAGTAATTTGTCATGATTAGCTCATGGGACTGACTGATTATTAGCACTATTATGAACATAATGTATGTAAAATTCGTAATTCTTAAAATACTCGGACAAATACAGCACTTACAGCAAAATACAGCAGGCAACGAATACAGAAAATACATAGGATACATGTATCTTATTTAATACGCGTACGTGCCCGACACATACGTACACGCCTGTAGCAAATTGCACGGGCAATTACTAAGATGCTTTACTAGTCACATAGCGTCTCTTCGAGCTTGCATGCGGGCAAGTAGTTTTTCCCTATCAGGGATGCATTCTTTCACAATATCAGAACTAGTGAACTCTCGAGACCAATTCCATAAGTTGGGATGTTTCTCTTCACTTATTATACAAATTCCAGCCATTTCTTGGAGAACACTAACCCAAATGGTTAAGAAATTTGCCGCGATGTCTGTGATACCGATGGATTCTCCTCCGAAAAACTTCTTCCCTTTGAGCTCATCCTCAAGAATGCTCAGGTTCTTCTCTGTTTCCTCCATGAAATTCTTCTGCTCCTCTCCATGAGTCCAGCATGACATCCATGCTGAGGGAGGCACTGAAGATATATAATCAAGGGGATTAGCATGAACTAATTTAGCTATTCAATCATCAAGTAAATTCTTTCAAGAAATATATGGTTCAATAATTAGCCCAAGTAGTAGAGATGAAATTTGCACAGATCCCCGATCAGACCTGTTATTTTTATTTATTGATGGCAGGAAGAGCCATTAAAAGCTTACAAAAAGGAGCAGGCCCGCAAACTTTCGAACATGTTAAAAAGTAGGATGTTGTAGCATTATCATGTAATGCAGTACCTAAAACATGTCATACGCCTAGCTTATATACACACACACACGCACACACACACACACACAATTTAGCTTTGGTTTCCATGTATATATAGTTTCATATATACATACATATTTTGGTTTCCAAGTTTATATAAATTTGAATTTACATCTTTCAACACACACACACACACACACACACACACACACACACACATATATACACACACACACGCACACACACACACACACAATTTAGCTTTGGTTTCCATGTATATATAGTTTCATATATACATACATATTTTGGTTTCCAAGTTTATATAAATTTGAATTTACATCTTTCATATTTATTGTTTTGGTTTTTCTTGTTTAAATATGAAACAATTGAATATAATTGGAAAATACATTTTTGGTTTCATGTTTATATGCTTACATATGATTTCATAAATATCAATTTTATTTAGTTCAATGAAATCATGTTTGTTGTTTTGAAAGTTTGCAAAACAAGTATTTTTGTGAAAATATTGTTTTCTTGGTATATGAACTTAACAATCATGATATACATCTTCTATTCAGTCTATATATTCATTTTATAATGTTTCAAAACATGATTAAACTAAAATGTAAAAACTCATGTGTTTACATTTTCATGTTTTGGACTATTTTGTAAAATAATTATATTTTACATTTGGGAGGTCCTTTTAGAAAACTCAGTTCTTGTAGCATGTGTATTATCATGCCTACAATCATTTCTCAAAGTTTTACATTTTTCTGAATTTATTTGATATTTATAAACCCAGTTTAAAGTTGAGTTTTTCTGTGCACTTCAGGTCTGTGCATGTCTAGTCGACCCATTAGTCGACCCATTAGTCGACTCATGAGTCGACTCATAAGTCGACTCATAAGTCGACTCACGAAATGCAGCGTAGTTGTGATTTTTCTTCTGCTGAGTCGACTCATATAAGGCGACTCATTAGTCGACTCATAAGTCGACTCATAAGTCGACTTATCAGAGAGCCGTTGCACAGTAATGACTAGTTTTCTGATTTGTTTGTTTATGGGTTTTTTGGTCTTTTCCTTAGGGTTTTTGCTGAAGTTTTGAGTGGGTATAAATACCCTAATGCCTTCAGCTCTTTATACAATCTAAGAGAATGTTTTAAATAAGTTTAACAATGGTTAAAGTTTGTTTTAGTTTGTTTAAAAGAGTGTTTAAGAGTTTTGTTTGTGAAGAGAATTTCACAAGAGCTTTAAAAGAGTGTTTAAGAGTTTTGTTTGTGAAGAGAATTTCACAAGAGCAAGTGGAGATCATCCTTGGTGTTTGAGCATTCACTCTTCTCCCTCTCTTGTTATCTATAGAGAAGTTTTTCTAAACTCAATCTATCTTTACATTTATATTGTTTAATTACCATTTTATTAAGCTAGTGTTTATATTGAGTTTAGTTGATTTTATTTACTCTTTGTTTACACACACAACCATTGAGCTTATTGTATTTGTATACATTATGTAATTGGGTTGTGGGATTGTGTGACTTAGAGTGTGAGCTTACATTGAGTTCTCACCTTGTATTAGAGAACAAACACTTTGTTATTGTGCCTAATTGTGTAGATCACTTTATAATACACTTGTACACCAAGAGGAGTGTGTGGTGAGGACGGAGTCGATACCAAGAGGAGTGGCATCGGTGACCTAGTGAGAGGTGATAATTCCGAGCACTTGAAGGAGTCGATACGTGAGGACCAACACTTGAGGTTGTAGCTTGTGTATGTACATTATGAAGATTTATGAGAGTTGTCGATTGACTTGATAACCGAGTGTGTAGAGTTTTCGGTTAGCTAGAAAACCGAGTGTGTACTACGCCCCGCTCCCACTCTCGAGAAGAATACCCTACACAACCCGGTTTGGAAGCGCGGAATTCTGCTAACACACTC